ACAGTTAATTTAACAAGAGCTTTTTTGTGGGGAACCTGAAATAGGTTGGCCATTTACTTAATTGATAACATTCACCACTTTTGTTTACAATTCTTTCATTCATTTTAACTTTCATCCAATAAAAACGTACACATTACACTTAAATAAATTTAAAAACATTATTTTCATTGGTTGAAGTGTTCATTCTATTTTTTAATTAATTGCATATCTATCTTATAAAGTTAATTTATGTTCCTATCTACAGGGTGATTAAAACTTTAAGTTCAATTTATCTTTTCACATACAAATATTTATGTTTTTAGAATCAAAGTGCAATTATTTCATAAAATTGAACTCTTTTTGGTAAAAATCGAATTTTATTACATAGTTACCTATAGTTGCAGAAGTTGATTGATATATTATTCTGATAAAAGTATTTCTTTATTAAAATATATAAGAGAATAAAGCGGGAAAAAATGTTGGAAGTAGAGACAGGATGAATGAATGTAATGTAGGAAAGTAACAATGACTTTACATTATTCGTAAGAAAGGCCCTAAATAGAAAATCAATCCATCTTCTGGTCAAGGGATAAAGTTCTTTTCGTCCCTTCGTCATTTACATTTCCAGTTTATCTTTGATATCCCGCAGTACAATTAAATCACTCAACCATATACAGGAATCCTTAATGCATCATGCATATCGCATAAAATATTATCTGTACCTAATCACCCTTTTAAGTATAATTTCTGTACATAAATAACTAATTGAACTAACCAGACGTTTATAGTTTACCTTAGAACGAATTTTAATTAATAAACACCTAAGTAAAGTGAACAAGTTTATAAGCAAGCAAGTGAACGATTTGAACTTTGACCTGCACGATAACGTGCTATTTTTTTTTTGGTAATTTAAACGACAGAAATATGATTTTGAAGGATAGGGCTTTCATTGATAAGGAATGTGGATGTCTCTGATAATATTTTGATGTAGTGACAAAGGCAAAAGGACGTGATGCTATAGGGGGAAAGATGTGTATATATTCTCATCAATAACTCACTATCGGTCTCGTGAAATATGGAATTGCGGGCACATGACGTATGGTCTTCGGTGTAGTCCGCATTCGAAACCCTTACCCCTTAAATTCATCTTAATTATATCCGTCTCCTTTGTACTATTGCGCGGTAGAACTTAAAATAGTCTCAGATTTTCCAAATCACTTAATACAAAATAATTTATTCAGGAATTCTAGTACGAGTTCGAATCAATTACTATAACATTATACCTACTTAATAATTGTCAACAAGCTGATTGTAGTTGTGGTGCATTCTTGATGAAACATTTTTAAATTACCAAAAAAAGATTCAACTAAAACTGCTTTCAATAAATTACATTTAAAGTGTAAAGTAATTGTATGTAAGAGTCTAATTTTGGTGGAATTTTTATTTGGTTACCATATAATAATTAATTGAGTTAATTGAGATTTCTGGTAATAGGAAAATGCCCTTTTTGTATTATTCTAAGATGAGATTTAGTACGGCCTAAAGAAATTTCCGAGAATAAGTTATCAAAACAAGAACCTGTAAGATGACTTAAGCCCGAGAATTTGATAAGTCGTCAGTTAGGTTGATAAATGTGATCATATTTTATACAGAGACATGACACTTTCGCAAGATGCTATCTTCTTCAGCTTCTATTTAGAGGGGATTGCTTGGAATTAAGTGGCCAACTTTTCGAATGATTACATTCCCTGGCTCTTGTCCGACATTTTTACTCCAACTAAATATACGAGATTTATTCCACAAAATCAGCATCAACATCAACTAACAATCTATGGATTTTTGAAAGCTATTTTCTTTGCATTTTTTGACCAAAAATCATCACTTTTAGCATAGAAAATTAGAAATTACCTATACGTTTCGTTTTTCTGGAAAACTAAGCTAAATGTGTGTATAATATAAGTAGTATGAAACGGGTATGACACAAGAAAAATGTTAACCATTTCAATTTTCAAAATATTAAGAGATGTTAGGCTAGTTTTTAAAAATGTTGGTAAAAAAAAACAGAAAATGAATAAGAAATCATAATTTTTGTGTTTCTGGAGTGTAAAAAAGGGTAAGTGTATGTAGTGGTATCCGATTATGTAGAGGTACAGGAAAAAAAGGATGTCGAAGGATAAAAGTTAACATTTTAATGACATGTCGTTGTGGCAAAAAGGCAGTAAATACAGGTACATGTTGTACAAGGTTCGTAAGATTACTGTGTTCGTGAAGTCATCATCTCAAGAATTATACTAGTCCATGACTAATTTCTCTGGTATAAAATGATAAATCGAGTACGGTGATTCGAGCCTAGCGCTATCGAAATTATGAAAAAGTTCCTGATCTCTCACTAATTTTGTCAAAAAAGAAGCGAATGCGTGATTTCCATTGAGTTACACGCAAATCGAAATTGCTACCAGTTTAACAGATTGCACATGCGATCGTGGTCGCCAATTAGACTCCGCAGTTAAAAGATAATCTATCATTACTCCAAATTTGCGTGTCGATGCTTCTGATTCACGTACCTATGCTATCTAGACAACGAAATTTACTGCAATTACGTACCGACCAGCTTAAAAATCTTCCAGACAATAAAGCTACAATAGACGTACCTATCTACAGTACACTTTGAATTCCATACGAGTTTTTAAAGTAATTCCCTACACAACGATAAAACCCCATGAAATAGATACATCCCATCATCCTTCTGGTACTGTTTTTCTATTTAATTAACAAAATTGGGATCTCTCATTAATAGACTTCATAAAATAATAAATTAGATACAATAACTTAAATAAATTGATAAGGGATCATAAAGTGCAGCTCTATAATACAAATCTGAATTGAAATACGTAATAAATTAACTTTATTGGTTAATTAGTGTCTAATTATTCTTCTTATTAGGGTTATTTGCTACATATTAATATATTAGTCCTTTTTTTATTATTTATTGTTACCTACTCAAAATTTTTTTGGCGCCTTTCGTTAAGTGCGTATATAAAAAGCGAAATCTACATGTAGTACAACTATTCGATGTGTACGTACATATATGTATCTCTTATATTATAAATGTATGTATACCATAATGATATAATACCTGTTCTATATACGATAGAGTAGTTAGTTCCTTCAGGTCGAGAGAGAGCATATTATTGTGATTGATCTACCGGTAATGCGGTTTTAGAGATCGAAGCTCTGGCCTTGCTAGCGGTATTCGGTCTTGGCAAAGGCATGGTAAATAATGAGTCCCAACGACTTGCCGCAGGGGTCTTGCGAGACTTCAACCCCTAGGGGGTGTATTCATTTCCAATCACCACTGGATACTACTTGAATCAGTTTTAATTTCTCTACGAGAAATATATTGTCTTATGACACTTTGGTGGGTTCAAACCACTACAAGCATTTATCATATTATAATTATGAAGTTCGCGTTTGGTTCTCGACTTTCGTTATACGAACAAAATAATTTCGTATTGGTAGATTTTTAATTAATTCGGACTATTGCGCAGTCGTAACCTCATATACCAAAAAATTATATACACCACACCATTTGTTGTATAATTTAACTGATCTACCCTTTTTACTAAAGTATTGATTACTATTATATCAGAAATAATCGTTATTTAAAAGGGGACATTAATAAAAAAATATAATTTGTAATGTATGCTTCATCTAGATACAATTAGGAAATCATTTTTTTACAAAAACATAAAAAAAAACGATTAAAAAATGTTAACAACTAATAATTAATAGATACCTTAATCTCTGAAGTTCTAACTGCCGAGTAGGGTCCAAGTGTAGGGTTTTCTGTAAAGTAATTGACCCTAATAAGTAAATCATGTTTCCTTGCTAAAAATAATAATTATAAAATATGTTTTTTTGCATATCTAACTAAAGATTAATTTGATCGTGTTTTTCATGCGTGGTCAAATTGTTTTCGGATATAAAAATGCGATCTATAACGACATGTACATTTGCATGGTGACTTAATATGCTGAGTTACCAAAGCGTAATATTGGTGTTGACAGAATACATTAGGATTTAGGTGGTCAATAAAAGGGAAAGACCACAAAAAGAGTTACTCCTATGTGTATCCAACACAATCTCTTAGCCACTGCCATAAAAAAACGTAGTAGGTAGGTATATACCTTTTTCTAATATATTGTACGAAGATAATATGAGATTTCAAGAAAATATTGTTTTATTTGCTAAATAAGGCCTTTAAAAACTGAATTTAAGTTTAAATAAAATAAAAAATAAAGTTAACTACATATCTGTATATGTATCGAGTTTTTTTTTTGTGTTTTACTGGGCCACCAATGAGCAAATTTAAATAGCGAAAGCAAAAGAAAATGAGCCCATAAATCATTTTATAATTATTGTTTGAGCTCTTCACCCAGTCTTAAGAATTATTTCAGCGCCTACCACATGCTGTGAGGATGTGGATTACC